TTAAGGTCGATGGCGCAGTCCGCTCCAGACGTGGAGGCACTCCAATTCTCTGAAACTCCCAAATAGTTGCGGCAGGAGCCTGAATGCTCGGAAATCCGCACGTAAGACATCTGTCGCCTTTTATGCAGGCCGAGGAAGCGCTATGACCCCAATCTAGTTTTAAGCATTTGTGGCCCACCCCTGCAGGCTTTCTCGACTTGAATTTGTCCGCAAGCCTTCGCACGATATGTCACCGGCTTTTGTTATTTCGACTATGCTTGTCATTCCTGCACAACCTTGTGCTGGCTGTAGCAGTAATGATGTCTCGCCGGGACTTTCAATTTCTTGGTTTGCACGCTCTCCTAGACTTCCCTGGAACCCCAAATAGCCTGTGCATCCATCATGTACATACCTGCATACATACAGACCTACCTACCTGTATGCAAGCATGCCTGCATACATCTACGCGTGTATACATATGGGTGGTTGTCAACATTAGGGTCGCTTTTGGGGTCTTTATTATAATGCGGCACCCAATATTTCGGGTACCCCAAAACAGGGCCATAATTTTGACAACCACCCATTTATAACTATATATAATACGGGAGGCAGTAAATCTTCTTTGGCTGCTTGGAGCCAGTCCCTCCCCGCGAGGGCAGAGGCGCCGGGTTGGGGCTCCAAGCTAAGGGTTACCTGTAGTCTCCATTGTAGTTCCTTTTTTGGTTTAACCACATATATATATATGTATATATATATATATATGTATATATATATATATATATGTATATATATATATATATATATGTATATATATATATATATACATATACATATATATATATATATACATATCATAAGATCTTGACCATACCGCTGGTTAACAAAAAGGAATTACAATGGAGATTAAAAAAGTAGGGTAAATGAGGAACAAGGATTAGGAGGCGCTGTTTTGCCGCCCTTAATGTAGAGGGCTAAATATTGCGGGTACCTTGTTACAATTGTAGTATAGTGGGCCCCAAAACCCTGTTCTAATGATCAAGGCCCTGCATTCTTCCAATTTGTTGTTGGTTTCTTCTGGTGGCTTTGGCGACTGTTTGTTTCGGGTGTGGAGTTCAGGGTTTGGGGTTGGCGAGTACGGGGCTTCAATCCCTAACTCTTAGGAGTTTAAGTCTTTGGGGATTTGGGACTTTAAGCTTCGCGGTTCGAAAGTTTAAACTCAAACTCCTACTGCAACACCCCAAATAACCGTCCACCCTACACCCCTAGAGCTTATCGAAGTTCAGGCGTTGGGTTCAGCTCAAGTGCCCCATCCTCAGAGCTATTGTAATGCATCGAACTTCGGATTCCTCGGCTACATGCCGGCTTGGGTAACTTATGGTGAACACCAGAAAGTTGGAACATGGATTTAGGACGATCAGTGCCCGGGTTTCCTATACTGTACCCAAAGGCCCTAAGGGCATGAGGATAAGATTGTTCCAACTTTCTAGCTTCTACTGTAGAGCTGTTCAGCCTTGGGCCTTTTGGGGAGGTTAGTAAACTCAACACGGAGGTCGGAGTTACTCTCCCTAACATACCTCTAGTGTTCAGAATATCCCAACACCCTATCCTGATTAAATATGCAAGCCACTGTACGTACCCTGAGCTCTAAGCCTAAACCCTAACCTTTCTTTTAGGCCTCCGGGATCAGCGGATTTAGGCTAGTACACTATGCGCACAGGGAGCTTTACTATAGTTATAGTATACGACACCACACAACTTCTTTTCAAATTATTGAGGCGCATATAGTGGTCCACTCGAAGCTCGAGACCAGGGGGTAAGCTAAGGGCGCCCGGGGTTGCCAAAAGGTTTCCTTATACAGGGTTCCGTGCACTGTGCTATACAGGTTCTAGAGGTTTTGGTGCTTCTGGGATGTACCTTAACCCTGAACAACCTACTGCTTTAGGGTTCCTCATTATGATTTCCTTATACAAATCCTTAAAAATGTAGGTTCTTCCGGGTTAAGGTAGGGGTTTCGGGCTCTGGTCATCTTTGAAGGCTGGAAGCTTAGGCACGAAGTTTACACCCTAAAGCCCAAGCCTGTACTTGTAATGTCCCTAGCCACGTGTAAACAGACCCCACAGCTGCCATCCAATATGTGTTCGGAGTTCTTTTTTGTAAAAAAGGTTAAAGCCTCCCTGTACAGGGTACATGGGGGGGGGTCTCGGCAGGGCTCTGTTTTGCCGGTCAGGAAGCGCTCGCACTCGAAGAAAGTTGCACAAGCTTGGCAACACACAGCGAGGTGCGCTGCAGTTGAAGGTGTTGTTGGGATCACGGTGTCGGTCGTTTCGGGTCCGAAGCTTTATACTGCTAGGTTTACAGGGTTCTTCAGTCTGTGTGTGTGTGTGTGTCTGCATGTACCATGTAGGATGTTTACCGTGTACATATGCGTCCCAATATACCAAGACAGATATCATTTGTTTGCACTTGATACAAAGATAAGATAGAGACAAGCGTAAACAGCTGCACAAGAAGCTTTTGGGTTTCGCCGTTTCTTGGAATACGTAATATAGAAACATAAATACTTAATATTATTGTCAGGGCTCCTTATTGTAGCATAAGACACCCGAAAACCCTATTCTAATTATTGAGGCCCCTATATTATGTAGCCAAACCTCCGAAGCCCCCACCAGTTCCATGTTTACTGTTCAGGCCCGGGCGAGCAAGGAAAGGCCTGAGGTCGACGGGATCTGTCATCCGACGCCTGCGCCAATAAACCCTAAGGCCCAAAGTAGAAGCCTGAACCCTAGACCCAAGACCATCTCCGATCTCTTCGAAGGCCTCAGTCTGCAGACAAGGGCAGGGCCGCAGTGGTCTGTTGATGACCTCCGCGGGTGCGGAATTCGACGCATCTTTCTCGGTGGTGCCAATGCTGTGCGGTGCAGTCGGTCGACCGCCCTTCATTCTTCTGGTCATGGTTGAGTCGGATGCTGTTTCCGGCCTGGCTGCACATCAATGATCTCAGGTTCAACTAGCAGGTCCTCCAAGCTTAGAGTCCCGGAGTAGCTTTCCGAGTCGGATAGGGCTTCTGACGGTATGTATAAGGGATCTATACCTATAGTCTCCATTGTAGTTCCTTTTTGGGGTTACCTATCAGGATCCTTAATATAGACTTGGTTAAACCAAAAAAAGGACCTACAATGGAGACTATAGGTAGGATTCGAACCCAGCCAAGCATCGCGGCAGTGCGGCGCATCCTGTGAGCAGCCCTTAGCTCCCCACCGCCTTTGGCAGACCCCAAGCTGCCAAAGTAGATAGAATCTAGGTACGGCCCCCACTCAGTAACAGTTGGATAATATTCATAATATAGATATATAAGGCCCTTAATAGTAGCCCTATTGTAGACTGTTACTGTATGGGGGCCGTACCCAAGATACAATCACTGGCGAAAGACTGTGCATAGCTTCCTTGAGGCACGGTTTTTAGTGTTTGGGGTGGCCGCCGACGCCGACACTGTAACAGACCTGCAACTCAGTGGCAGTCACCAGTGTGGTGCCCCATCAGTTGCTGTCATTTTCTTCCGGTACTACAACCCTGTGGCACGAGTTGTGATGCTGTTAATCATCTAGCTATGCCAACACGACTTTTTTTTCAATGTGGACCCGTGATCATAAAACCCCCTTCCCCCAAATAAGGATAAACTATGTGATAGCCGGGATCCTGGGATGAAGACGTTGTAAACATAGGGTTTTTTGCGTACTGACCAGGGGTCAACATTAGTTTCTGTGACCGCCCTGAGTCTCAGGGTTGTCGAGGTCGTTTTTTCCAGTGACTCTTGCCGGTGAGACCCCCCGAATATGTCCCAATGGTCCTGCTTATGGCAATTTCTGTACGACTCGGCTCCCCAAACCAAAACCTAGTAGTAGAGGAGGCAACCTTTAACACTTTTTCGGGTAGTATATTCCCTATATAACCCCTCTTTAACCAAACAGGTTAACCTTTAGTTCCCCATGATACCCGACAAGTAGGGAAAGCCCTGCATGCTGCTACGGCCCCTCCGGCCTCTCGTTTGTGGTGCAGGCCGCGCGGCGCATCACTGCCTGTCCCGCACCACCTGTGGAGACCCGGTTCGATATTATTTGCTGCGGTGTGGACTCATTCGGGTCAGAAAAGAATTGGCATAAACGGGGTCGGAATAGATACTAATACTACTAATGGTATTCCTTATTGTTCTTATTTATAGTCGCACAGCTACACTATATAACATGTAGTCTCTCGCCCTGGCATATTGAAGCCTTCAACACCCCAAACAGGACCCAAATGCCAACTCGAGATTCGGAGCTGCCTCCTGTGCGTCAGCACAGTTCGTCAAGGGAGTTGGTGCTGAGCTCTAGAAGTTCGGGATGTAGGGGTTTAGGGATATACATTTATGTATCTATGTTCTATCTATACATAAGTATATAGGGTTTAGGAACCTTTCCATCGAGTCAATGACAAGGCAATGCAGCATCCAATGGCACAGCTACATGTGCCAAACCACTCATGCACTCAACCCTGTAGTAGACCCTAACCCCTAGACCCTCGAGCCTAAACTACAAGTTGTTCGTGTGCAGATGCTTGCTTGGGCGGTCTGTTCTCACCCGAGTTGCCGTTTGAAGTTCTCTTCCCGGTGCATGGGTAAAGGGACGTTCCTCAATAGAGGGATAGGGGCTGTGAAAGTTCCAACTGGACTCCAAAACTATCCGAGTGACTGAGATTTCCGTCGTTTCCGATAGTGCGCAGACATGGACACATTCTGAGGAAAGGAGGTTAGAGTTCGGGATGAAGCGCCGAGGGCTGCTCTTTTCCGCAAGCCTGGCAATCCTTAAACTCCAGCCAGCTGTCAAAGGAGAAGCTATTTCTTCACTTTAAAACTGAACTTAGGGTTTAGGGCTTTAGGGTTTAGGTTATGTCTGCGTTGCTGCCTAGTGGCCTTTGTTGCAGCGCGGGCTCGAGCTGCCAAGAAGGCGACGAAAGCTTTCGCTCCTCGTGACGACGCTGACGCCATGGGCGTGTCAAGCTCCATCCAACCGTCGTGGCCATCGTGGCAACTTTTCAGAATGTAGAGTAGAGAAACTATAGAGCTTATGGTGTATGACCCATTATGATCCTCTAAACCCTAACCCCTGCATTTAATTTAAGCTTTTATCGGTCTTCGACCATGGGTTCGGTTCGCCGGCACCCGCTGCCAGGCAGTGGCCGAAAGTCTTCGATACGTCGCCATGTTTGCGCCCGGGCTGAATCTGATTTCAGATTCTGAACCCAAAGGGTCCTAGGTACTGTAATGGGGAATACTTCCCCAAATCATAATAGTAATTCCTAGTATAGAAACCCTACATTTTACTATATGGGTACTTTGGGGAACTCCACACCGCGAAGTCGAGCATCTGAAGTGTTTAGGATGTATGGCTGAATCATACCATAGGGGCCCAAATCATTACCAACACTATTTGGGGGATGCATCATTATAAACGGTATAATGGGCCCCAAACCCTAGTCTAATCATTAACGCCCCTGCAGCGCGGGGTCCGAGCGAGTCCGACAAGTGGGAGCCAAACAATTAAGGCCCTACATTACAGGTTTTTGAGCTGAACTTAGGGATTTCCATCAATCCCCACAAGCTTAACCCTGGCGAGCTGCAGAGCTGGCTCGTACTCGGAGGTTCATGGGTAGTTATAAGTGGGGTTATAAGTCCCCTAGTATGGGTTATAAGTATAGTTACCCTGAATATGACCCTACTTATAACTACCCATGAACCTCCAGTATGCAAGATTCGTCACGGAAAGCTGCTGAACTCAAACACCTCAAACACCAGCATATGCAGAGGCAGAGACCTGAATAGCTAGTACGAGTATCCAGGATAGACCCTATCTAGCATATCATCAATGATCAATATTCTCCCCCAGACCTTATGTAGAACTATGTTAAATAGTATTGTTGGGATTAGGGTTTAAGATTTACGAGGGTTTATAGTATAGAGCCCCAAGACACGAAGACGTAGGTCCTGTACAAAGACTCGCCTAAACTTCATTTTCCCGGCCCCCGCAGCATAAACAAAACAACCCATGCGACTAAAGCCACATACAACCCCTCGACTCAAGAAAGATGCTTGAGACAGGTCAATGTGCCTGCAGTGTTGAAGTGGTGTCCCAGAAACCTCGTCTGAGTGCGAGTGACAAAGACTTACTAAAATTGCTGTCAGCCCATAGGCCCCAAAGTAGTTCCCCTTTGTGAATCATACATAGAATCCTATAAGGTCATCCCAAAAAGGAACTACTATGGGGCCTATGGGAGACCCTATTCCCTTGAGGACTCCCGGGATGCTCCGGATCCTTCGAGGGGTCATGGCCGTCATCTTCGTTGTTCACTGCACGTGGCTGCTCGGCTTGACAGGCACTTTGCATAGACAGTAACGCAGCCTGAGTATGGAGTTGAAGTCTACAAAACTGGATTTTTAGTTCATGGGTCAAAGTTCCCAGTGCTCCGTACAAACCCATCTTAGTCCCAGGATTGCAAAACACTGCATGTGAGGGCGACGGAAACTATTGTGGGGCCGTTAAGGGGGCATGGGGTGCGGCTGTGACATTGGACGTGCTGAAATTCGAAGGCTCTACTTCTGAGGTTCGGGCAAGTTCATCATTGGAGGACTGAGGTCGGAGTTTGTGCTGCAGGCTCGTCTAATTACTCCTCGGGTTCCGAATGACTGTTTTTTCAGGCTGATGTCAGGAGAACTGAGGCTTGAAGTGTTGATTTGATGTTCGTTTTTATTGCGATCATGAACGCTGATGCTCGGATTATTTGGTATTATTAGTATTGTTTGTCTCTTTTCTCCAGACATGTGGGAGAGTTGGCCTCGACAGTTTAACTAGTAGAGACGCCTGAAAGCTCCGCTTCTTGGGCTCTTCACATTCTCAGGGCACTGAACTCTTGCTTAGCAACCAGAATTATAATTATGCTTATACATATACGTATCTCTCTCTCTCTCTCTCTCTCTCTCTCTCTCTCTATATATATATACGCATATACGTACATGTGTATTAGCATGTTGTAAAGGAGATGCTCTAGCACCCACAGATGTGGGTTTGCCCCGCAACCCGCAGAGCTTGCCCCCCCTCCAATCGTCACGTGCCAAACCCGAAGCCGCAGACAGGCCGGACAGGTTGCAGGACCATGTTGGTTTGGTTTCGGGATATTCTGTTATTTTAGTACATCATATGAGCTTATTGTATTATGTTACAGCACTATTTGTATAGTACAGTACAAAATCGAAGTTTTAGTTTCCGGAATATAGTGTATTCTACTAGAAAATGTTATATGACATTATAGTATAGCAAATTGCATAGTAGTGTATTTCGTTATAGCATATTTTGTTATGTTATGTTGTACTAACATATGCCTCAGCATATTACAGCACACTATATTTTGATTTCTATATTCGTAACCTTAACCTAAACCCTAAGCCCTAAGCCCTAAAACCCTAAACCCTAAACCCTAGCCACAAGGCACGTCGTGGAGTACGCCTTCCTCAGAGGAGAGGGCTTCTACTACTTCCTCTTCCTCACGAACTGGTGTTTGAGCCTGGACGGCATCGTCCTACTGTTAAAGGGCCCCTTAAAGGGATCTATAGGGTTCCTTGAAGGGATCTATAGGGTTTAGTTTAGGGTTTAGGGTCTACTTGGAGGATCATGGGACTTAGTAAGTAATGTTTTAAGTACCTTAATTGGGGTTGTAAGTAGCTATAAGCATACTTACCCTCATCATAACCCTGGTTACTAAGTCCCATGATCCTTTAAGTAATTCTGCAGAGCCTCCGGCGCCCAGGCCCAAGCCTAAGCCCTGAAGACGCAGAGCCCTCTTGAAGAATGCCCCTAGTAGCTAAGTTACACTTTTTGGGATAATATTTCCCACTATAAAACTAAAAGAATACACTTTTTGGGGGCTTATGAACTCAGCAAAAAGTGGCACCCCGCCACAACTGTTGTGTTTTGCATTTCGAGCTAAGTATCTCTCAAACCTTTGACTGCTTCGGTTCGTCTTTAGGGACTGTCCATGAGAAGAACTAGAGAGTTCGCGCTGCTCACGCCATTGTCGGGCTTGTCTTTGTCTGCCACTGCTCTTATGTATTACGAAGACTGTGCCGGGGATGATGATGGTGATGATGTCCAGCATCATAGGGCGATCCAGGCGAAGAGCTGACGTGCATGGCACTCATGATCAAGCTACCGGTGCTGGCGATGACGATGCAAACGATGTTGATGTCCATGAGAATGGCATTTTCCATGCTCCCGAGCAGGAACGAGTGAAGAAAACAATGTCTTAAAGATGACTGTGTTCACAGCGACGAACCCGACAGTATGTTGGCCTTAATCAAATCGGCACCAATGTTTGCATCCCGCATATTTTTTATTCAGTGGCGGTGACGGTGATTGTGAGGGATTATGTGTCGATGATGCTTGCGATGCTTGTGGTTGCCATGTGGCGGTACTTGCCAAGGGCGAGCCTTGTTGTTAGTGCTTTTTCGTTGTACGCATCTTCCCCCGTCTAAGCTCTACAAATAAGTTCATGCATACATACATGCATACGTACATGCATACATTCATATACATACATACATACACATACATACGTACATACATGTGTGTGTGTGTAAATTTGTTGGCACATTGCTAGCTTCAGGCCTCGTGCGAAACCACACGGCAGTTAGTTTCAGGGTTCGGTAAATGTTCATGAAGCCAGTTTGGTGACAAACCTTGAATTCTAAAACGTAAACCCTGAAAGCTGAAAGACTGGGGAGAGCCGAGGATGTTTGAGACTCTGCAGCTCGGCTGCACTGTCGAGCTGTCCTCACCGCATCTTGCGGCCGACATGCATAGATCCGGAATGTACCCAGAGGCTCCATAGTAGTTCCTTTTTGGGATTACCTTATAGGGTTCTATTTATGAACCTCAAACAGGAACTACTTTTTAGCCTTTAGGGTAAAGTTTAGGGCTCTGACGGCCGGTTCCCCCTAACTGACGCTACCCCGATCCAGCAACGCCCGCAAGTCCGAGTTGGGGCTGTAGCTGGTTTGCTTCAGATCTTCGTCTTCCATAGTAGTTCCTTTTTTGGATTGCCTTATTAGAATTGTATAAAAGAACCCCAAAAAGGAACTACTTTGGGGCCTATGGGTAGGGTTAAGATTTGGGTGGTTGTCAGAATTATGGTCCCCTTTTTGGGGTCCGTAATACAATACGCCACCTAATACTTCGGGTACCCAAAAAAGGGGCCCTAACTTTGACAACTACCCAGATGGGAGTTTTGCGCTTCTTGCCCGTGGTTCACAACTCCAAGTCTCGACATGGAGGCTGTTTTGTGCCCCGGTGCTTTGCAGTAGTTCAGATTTGAAACCCTCTTTGAAGCCTTTGGAGTTCCGGCGCCCCGCGATTGTTATGCCAAGGTCCAGGTCGCAGGCTCTGCGTGACGCCCCCGCAAAACCATCACGTGTACTGTAGTGTATTGTATATTGTATGGAGCTGCACTCTAAGCTATTGTAAGTTTATTCCGTTGTATATCATCGCACGGTTTCATATTGCATTCTGCTAGTGTACAGCATTTGAGACATAATGTGGAACACTCTTTTACATGGTAACTTACCTTTGAGGCCCGTAGGTGTCAGTGCCGGGGTGCACACAGTAATTTGAAACGCTGCGCGTCGTCCGCCTCGGCCCGGCTGTACGCGCATGCGGCGAGTGGCTACTATCTGCAGCAAGCTCTTGTAGGAAAAAAGTAACAGTTGGAATCGCACTTATAGTAAAAGTAATGTTCATAGCAACACGAAGCAGGATGATTGTGAGTAGTATTAGTAGTGGTAGTATCAGTACGAATTTTGGTGTCGTCATTCCGAAACACTGGATACCAAGACTCTCGCAAGCGGCGGGATGCCTTAAGTATGGGCCGTTGAGGCTGTGGATTTCGTGGGCGTCTTGGATTAGGGAAGCATCACAGCCTTTTCAACCACGTTACTCCATCCCAACGAAAGGGCGTCTAAAACAAGCCTGAGACGCAAAGCCATCAATTCGATACCAACATAGGGGCCCAAACAATGATTAAGACCCTGCTGGTGTTTTTTTGATAGAGTAAAGGCGAGCCCCAACACATAAAGATTACATTGCAGTCCCGTGTCGTCGAAGCGGGGGAGGGGCGGGAGGGAAGGGGGGAGCGGGGAGGGGAGGGGGCGGAGGGGGGGAGGGGGGAGGGGCCCACAGAAGCCAAAATCCGTTGGAGGGGGCGAGAATTCACCGCCTTACCTTTGAGCTCAGGTCGGGGGGGGGGGGGGGGGGCAGTGGCCCCGATTTTTTGGTGTGGGGTCACGCTGTCAGCATTGCCGTTTTGGCATGTTGTAAAGACTTTTCGCAGCATTTAATGATTTAATGCTCACCGTTGATGTTTGTGCGTCACACTTTGCTCTTGGCATGCCTCTGCATCACTTGTTGCATACCACGGCTTACAATGCTGCTATTGATGTACATCGCTTAACATGTTTGCGGCTCACGTTTCGGTGCTTGCATGCTAAAAAGGGTTCACGGAAATCAAGTTTCTCCAGATGAGACATCTGCTGAGCCCGGTACATTGAGGCAGTTAGTACGGTTCAACCCTGCGAGCGACAATTGGAAGTTCAGTCAGATTCTACCACTCACTGCCAGCATCCGTTATGACCCATGAAAGCCAACATGCCAAAGGCACACGACCTCCAAACTGGAGCCACTCAACATTAAGGCCCGAAATCGCTCATCAGTAGCCTGGACAAGGATGCTGTGAACCTCTCCAAGGGGGCTTGCGATCGTTGGGGCTATTTGAGGCCGTTCGGTTCCAAGCACTCCGGAATTCCAAACATCAACACCCCGAAATCGAAAACACCTGAAACTTTGCCGTAAACCCAGCTCCCAGGCACAACCCTGGAACCTCAACCCCAGTCGCTGTATCCCAAGGCCCCGAAACTTGTGTCACTTGGTATAGCCAACAGCAGAAAGCCTCCAAGGTAGGTGCTACGGTTGATGATAAAAAATCCTGCGTTACCCAGAATAAGGAATTTACCATAATTCCCATAGTTTAGGGTCCTGAAGGTAATGCAGGATTTATATCGGCAACCGTAAACATGTGGGTCCCAGGAATATGGTCCTGCTCTTCCTCTTGTCCTTGATGGCTATGGAGGCACCCGAGCCAACCCATCAGTGGGATGCTTGGTTGGGAAACCTAGTAGTAGAGTAGATAACCTTTAACCTTTTTTGGGTAGTGTAGTCCCTATATAACCCCTACATAATCAACAAGGTTAACCTTTAGTTCCCCATGATACCCGACAAGTAGGGAAAAGTAGGTAAAGGTTTGGGGGTTCAGGCCCCCTAAACATGCATAGTCCAGGTGTAAAAGGGTTTAGGGGGCCAGCGGTTACGTTCCATATCCGGAGCCCTAAATCGTAACTTGTAAGCAACAAAGCATGATACCGCATCAGCCGGAAAGAACGGCATAAACATGGAAGTATGCTCCTTTGTGCCACGTATTGGGGATGGAGGGCTTTCCGTGATGTCGACAACGCGGGCTTCCGATTCTTGCTTCCTGGAGAACCCAACTTTCCTCGTACTTAAGCCCGTGTTATGTTCATGTTGGGGCCAAAAAGGTTAGAGTAAGCCCAGACTCTGACCTTAAATCGCCGAAAACCCCTAAATCCTAAACGGCTAGATGTGCTTGGTGAGCCACCTGACATGTCGTTGTCGTTGTCATCGTAAAACCTGTATTGTATTCAGACCTTACCTGGCACAGTCCCACAGTAACCGTCAAAAAGCCTTGAAACCCTGAGCACTATATCCCATACTCTGAAACCCTGAAGCCTACTACTATAGGTGCCCATTCTACTAAAATGATAGCAGGGAACCCCAAAATTTATTTATTTATATATATATATATATATGGACATATATATATATATATATATATATATATATATATACGTATATGGGTAATTATTGAAGCCCCTGTAGCACTGCCCTTCGGAACCAAGGACTTTGAGAAGGAGACCGAGCCAGCCCTTGCCCGGGTTGCCATGGTAGTTTTCTCCATCTCCCAGCCGTTGTCTTTAGGCGCGCATGGGGCCATTAGGTTTTGGGGTCCTTCTATAGTGGTTTGTAGGGTTGTATGAGGCATATACTATAAGGTTCTGTAGCGCTTATGTTTTGGTGTTTAGATTTAGGGCTGGAGGTTCAGGATGTCGCCTTTCGGGCATACAGTAGGGATCTGGCGACATAGTTCTCATGACCGCCGCGCTCAGAAGGAAGTTCCGCAACTTTTGCTCCTCTTTCTAACAGGGTTTCTTTCTGAATAGGGTTTGGGGTTTAGGGGTTTCAGGGTTTGAAGAGCTTGGCAGTCGCAACAGGCCTGGATGCAAAAGGGTTTGAAGAGCTTGAAAGCAGGTTCTGTCTGATTGCCCTAAAGTCCAAACCGCATTTTCTTCTGGCAGTGGTCCAAAGCACAGTGCGCAATCTGCAGCTCGTTTCCGAGCATATGCATAGACCGAGGTGTAAAAGAGCTTTCAACCTGTCACGCCATAAGCCTGGTGCTGGTTTCAAAAATCGGACCCATCTGCAAGGCTTAAAACTTAAGCCCTCTTACAGAGTTGATAGAGACCCCGCACACCAAAATAAGTAGGCACCTGCGGAAGCTTATGATGAAATGCAACAGGGCTTTAATCATGAGAATAGGGTCTCGGGTTTTATAAGCGGGCATCAGTACGGGGAACTGTGACGATTCGTTCAAGCCTGTGCAGTAGGCTTCTATGGCTCTAAACCCCAAGCCCCAAAATCTAAACCCTGAAGCCCAGCAGCCCGAAACCCCCAAACACACAAAACCTAAACTGACTGCCTTTGTTTTTACCCGAACAGCGAGCCTCGCAGCCGGTAGCCCGAAGCCCTGATGGTCATCTCGGCGCTAAGGGATTAGTTTTGTCAGTTTATCCACGTTATCAGAACAAAGGATCTGTAGTAAATCATGGGGTTGCCTTCTACATATGGTGGCGTACAAACTAAACCGTTATAAGGAACCATGATTATAGTTCATTGTCCTACTAACAACCCTAAACTCCAAAACTGCTGTTTTCTCCCACTTAGTTCAGTCTCACTCAACAGACCTCAAACCGGATTGTCCGAGTGCGAGCGCCGAAACCCTAAAACCCTAAACCCAGGCAACTTGACCTTGACTTTGTTAACAAGAACCCTGAACCGTTAAACCGTAAATCCCCAAACCCCGAAATCCCTAAACCGCTTATGTAAGCCTGGACGAAGGGCAAACTTTAAAAGGAGCTTAAAAAAGGCCTAGATCCCTGAACCCTAAACCCTAAAGGCACCAAACCCCTTAACAAAACCCGGCGATTCGCAGGTGTAGCCATCCTTTACTGGACCCTCCTACGGCCGATTTGGGATGTCGCTGGGCTTTGCACATGGGCAGGATTTTGTTGTTTAGGGTTTAGGGCTAGGGCTTCTTAGGGTCTAGGGTTAGGGTTAGGGTCTAGGGCTAGGGTTTAGGGTTTAGGGTTAGGGTTTAGGTTTTGTCTTGTAGGGTTAAGGGGTGGGTTTTGGGGTTTAGGCAGTATAAGGGTCAGCACCATAAGGACCCGCTGCTTGTTTCTCCTGCTTCCGCAAGTGTTTGTAGTATCTGCAGCTGGTCAAGTTTTAAGGACCTTGGGTTTCGATTCTTGCTGTGGCGTCTCTCTTCTCTGAAACCCACATGGGAGTTTCCGGAAATAGGGGACCCGAATATAGTATAAACCCTAAATAGTAGGATCTTTATTCTCAGGACCCCAAAATAAGGCACCCCCTATTTTTGGAAACTCCCGCATTGGAGTGAATTGCTTTGTGATGTGTTGGCTCCCGACTGAGGATGGCACTACTGGAGGGAACCGAAAGTTTAGCGTGAGAACCCGCTTTCATGCAGGACATGCCTCCGTAAAACCCAGAACGTCCCAAGGTCCTATTGCCCTAGACCCTGACTAGGACCTAGAGTAGGCCCTTATTCCCTTTTTGAGGGTTCAGGTTCCCTTATAACCCCCTTTAAACCAAAAAGGGCATCCTTTTTGTTCCTAGGTTACTCTTGGGTCTAGCTGAAGACTCTACGCAACCCCGGACTCCTGTGCCCAGTGCAAGAACGAATCAGGTTCTTGCCGGAGAGGAGGAGTGGCCCGCCTATTTGCCTTTCTTCGTGCACGGTATCGACACCATCCTTATGCTCCCTGTACGGCTTAGGGGTTAATTACATGTATAACTATATACATATATGTATGTATATATATATATATATGTGTGCATATATATATATATATATAGAGTACAGTTTTCGGGTCGGGACCTTAGGGTTTGCAAGGTGGTTGGAGTTTGCAGAACAGGACAAGGTGCTACAGCTATGTTGAAATTCTTAGCGTCGGATGTCAATTCCAATTGCCAGATTTATTGCGTGAGTTTCGGGTGGGGCGGGGGGGTGGGGTGCTATTTGGAGTCTTGTGTTAGCTGCGGTAGGGGAATCTGAAGACAAGTAGCGGCTTTGTTGGTGGGAAGCTTGCAGGATTCCTGTATTCCTGGTGCGTCCCTCTTCTCTTCGGTTTCCGGTGTAGGCCCAGTTTACGGGTTCCTTGTTCCGTTGTGTTCGGGGGTTCTTCCAGGGTCCTACGAGTGGTGTTTACATCGGATGTGCGCTCAGCAGCAAAGAGCTCAGACACTCGCTGAGATTTCAATTTGCTCTCAGTCGCAAGACTGGTTCAGTCTGGACCAACCCATACTTTGCACTGGCTGTCCCAGTCAGAATGAAACGGTTGATGATATCAATCTTGCATTACCCTTAATTAATAAGGACTAAACCATAATTCCCATAGTCTAGGGTCCTTTAAGATGAATGCAGGATTTATATCATCAACCGTAGTAGGCAGACACTGCCTCCCGAGGGCCTGAAGGGAAGGCGGGTGGGCGGGCGCGAGAGCAACGCTGACACAGAACAGGTGTCTCGCGCACACGCTGGAGCGTGCTGCATACCCTAACACCTGTAAGTAAATATATATATATATATACATATACATACAACTCAGAAACTGCGAATGCACGCGGTAGCAGAATTAAAGACGCAATGCACAAGGCCACACTAACTCGAGCATGGACGAGCATCTTCGAGGCACACTTCTGCTGGCTCGGAGATTTTGTCTTCATGCCGGGTAGCTGGCGAGAAAGCTGTGTCAACCAGTTGAAGTGATGTAGGGGCCTTAGTAATTGCCTGTACACTATTTGGGGGGCTCCTTAGTATAGTTGTACTAGGATCTTAAGGATCCCTACCAGAATTTAAGGATTTCTTTGTTTTCCGAAAAGCAGAGCGTGGTGACTAGCTTCACAAGAAACGACGAAGCTTGCAAGAAACGATGAGGCTTAGTTTGTTCACGGTGTGTGTGTATATATATATATACATATATATATATATATACACGCATACACATAGATACATGCATGCATGCATGCAAGCATGCATGCATACATACATACATACATACATACTTTACATCACATGTCATTACATTATGTTACCCGGCATACTTACATGTTTGCATACATACATACATGCATGCATACATACACACAGACGTACGCACAGACACACTTGCAGATATACACAGACTTACAGACAGACATACACGCAGACATACATACATACACACATACATATGTACATACATACATATGTGCATATGTATATATATATATATATATATGCACAGCTATATGTGAAATATACATACATATCTAAACATATCTCTGTGTGTTATCTCAGATCCGGGATTCAGGCATACTTTCGGACCACCAGATCTGAGGGAGTTGAGGGCTTTGTGCTTTGAGAATTTTATATATGTAGGCGGCACGGCGACAACATTGTTTCTACTTTTCGTCCGAGGCTCATCACGTTCTTTGCCTGTCGCGTCCCTTACACTTGCTCCCATGCCGGCTGGGTCGCCATCTTCTCCGTGCTCTACGGGGTCTTAACCTACCTGCACCATGTGCTCCGAATCGGTCGCTGGAACGGCTGTGCTACATACGACACTCGGCTGGCTTTAGCCTGAACCTCCGATTTTCCGAGTCTCACCGCATTGACACAGTCGCGCAATGGGACAATTGACAGTGTGGTAGCCTGTGTAGGAGTTGGCTCTGGAAGTACCCCCGTTGCAAGTGCCTGGTTTACGACAAGGCAAAGGCTGGATTAATGGTTGCAGTTGCAGTTTTTCAGTTGGTAGTGGTAGTAGTAGTAGTAGTAGTAGTAGTAGTAGTAGTAGCAGCAGTAGTAGTAGTAGTAGTAGTAGTAGTAGTAGTAGTAGTAGCTAAGGAAGATCCGCGTGACTGCCCCATCTACAGCGTGCTCGACTGGAACAAGCCCGACGAGGCAGGTGGGGCTTTTTTGACGTCTTTGGTTCCTGTAGACGTAACTTGATGTACCACTTCATGATAAGAAGTAATTGTGATCTGACAGTAGCAACAATAACAACAGTAGCTGCCTCGTGAAGCCTTTGGCCTAATTAAACCCTAGACCCTAAACCCTAAACTCTGAACCCTAGACCCTATATCCCCTAAACTCTGAACCCTGGACCCTATAAACCCTAAGCCTCGAACCCCAGACCCTATATACACCCTAAGCCCTGAACCGCTGAGTTTACAGCTCCGGTTCTTGATAGACCCTGAACTCTATACCTAGGTGGTTGTCAAAATGATGGTCCCTTTTGGCGGCCCTATTATTGTACGGCACCTAATATTTAGGGTACCCCAAAAGGGACCATAATTTTGACAACCACCCACCTGAGACCCTGCACCCTACCCATAGGCCCTTTTGTAGTTCCTTTTCGGGGTTCATATTCAGAACCCTATAAGGTAATCCCAAAAAGGAACTACTTTGATATGGGGCCTATGGGTAGACCGCCATGCGAGAGGGAAAACAATTCTGAACCGCTGAGCTTTTGGCTTCGTTTCTTGGCCTCGGGAGCTGCGCCATGGCACGGGGGGTGCGCCCTTGCAAGAGGGCTCCCTAAACACTACCTTAACCCTGAATAAACTACCTTTCTAGGGTTCCTTATTCTGATTTCCCTTTTTGAGTGCTTAAAAATGCAGGTTCAAGGTAACCCTAAACCCTAAACCCTAAACCCTAAACCCTAAACCCTAAACCCTAAACCCTAAACCCTAAATAAACCCTAAAACGACCACCCTCCGAAACCAGGGGTCCTCAGCAAGCTAGAGGAGTTGCTAGGGCTTTAGGGTTTTAGGGTTTAGGGTTTAGGGTTTAGGGTTTTAGGGTTTAGGGTTTAGGGTTTAGGGTTTAGGGTTTAGGGTTTAGGGTTTAGGGTTCGGTGTAGGGTGCCGGGTTTAGGGTTATCCATTTACAGCGAAGGTCCTTTGCAAAGTAGGGTTGTAGGGTTCCGGTTTTGGGGGTTATCTATGTACCGGGAACTCATTAAACTGTAATACAACGGCCCGGATAATTAGCACCTGGGGTTCGTTATGAAAGCTTTGCAATTTTACTGGAGTATAGTTATTTAGTAACCCCCAAACCCGGAATGCTCGAAATCTGCCATCCTGCTCTGCATGCTCCCTGACTGACATTAGAGTGGATGCTGGTTGTGCGATGGCTCTACCCTCTGAGCCTTCCAATAAACCCTACCTTGTAACCCTGAATACCTTACCTTCTTAGGGTTCCTTATCATGATTTCCACATATATATATATATATATAAGTCCTTCAAAATGTAGGTTCTTCGGGGTTAAGGTAAGCCCCAACGCCCAAGCTACTCGTTCTATGTTTCGGTTTGCAGTGTGTCGGGGCGCAGGTTTGAGGATTGCGTCAACTTTTTCCCTGGCAGCTTCAATATGGGGGTTTCCGACAATTAGGGGTACCGTACCTTATTTGGGGGTCCTTAAAATAAGGATCCTACTATTTAGAAGACGATTTAGGGTCTCCTATTTTCGGAAACTCCCATATGCTTGCATCTTCGACTTCATCCCTAATGAGCTGTCAGCAGCTGCAGCCTGCTTCCTTGCTGGCCAATGTACCCTAAACCCTAAACCCTAAACCCAAAACCCTAAACCCTAAACCCTAAACATGTGGGAGAGTTGCATGCTTCACTGAAGTCTAAGTCCTCATCCTCAAGACCTAAACTCCAATTCCGAGAGATCTCCTGGCTGAGTTCCGCGCTGCGAGAGCTTAAGCTTTCCCTAAGGGTCCATGTACTCATATAGTATATACATTGGCCTTAATGTAGTCCCTATACAGGTACTTTGGGGCTCATGTATCTCTATATGGGTACATGGACCCTTAGGGTTTAATCTCTAAGCAGTGGATTCGCCGGCTTCAGCGTACTAGGGTTGCCACGGAAGTGATGAACGAAAGCATTGCTGGCACTTGTACCGGGATGGTCAAAATTTGAAGCTGTCTCCCGAAATGCCAGAAGCTTTGTGCAAGACTGAAACATAGAGGCTTTGCCGATCACCCTGGGTGCCGTGGTGGGAGTGGGCCTGGTTCTTCCTGTGGCCTCTTGGCTTCGAATTGCAGCTTTCGGGGTTCAAAGCCTTAGAAACTCTCCACAAATCTCTAGGACTAAGGGCTTTGATCATGATGATGATGATGCCCACCCCCAAACCCTAAACCCTTGATGGTGTATGATGATGATGATGGTGATGATGATGGCGGTGCTCATGAGACTTATGATGGCACTGCAGTTTCCTGCTCGTCAGCTCGGGGCTTTGGGAATCTGATTTCAGCATTCGAAGGTTTACGGTTTACATCCCAATCCTAATTTTTGCTTATGTGCTTTTTGGGGCCCCTAGTTCAGGGTTTAAGTGCGCTTTTGGTCTGTGCAGCAGCCCCCACCAGCTTAAATTGCCTTGTGCCTGAAACGGACCCCAAACCGTAAGAAAGCTGAATGTAAAATAGTGGCCTTAACCATTAGAATAGGGTTTGGGGGCATGTTGTATTATATTTCATGTGTATCATAAGGAACCCCCACGATAGTATAGGTAATCGTTGAGGCCTCTACATGAAGGTGCGGGAGCTTAAATGCAGACCAAACCTCAGGCTTAAACCAGAAAGTTTACTACAGGCGCCTCAATAGCTACCAACACTATTTTGGGGGTTCCTTATGGTAAGAATGGTATAGAGGGCCCCAAAGCCGTACTCTAATTATGAAGGCCCTTATATTAGACGATATATTTCGAGCCATTAAAACACCCATTCTTTAACCCCCAAACTCCACACCCAACGCTTTGTAGAACTCTAACTCTATAGAACCACAAATGCTAGAGAACAAAACGGATAGCTAAGCATGGTTAACAAAGATCCCTTTTCAGTCCATGTCTTTCAGTCCATATCTGGGTATGTTGCAAAAACCCTCAGAAATCTGAAGCCTGAAAAGTTTAAATCCTGTAGAATGCCAGAGCTCCCAAACCCTATAAACCCTGCGCACTCAGACGCCTCGCCTGGAGTAGAGTCGAAGCCCTAACCCTAAACCGTAAACCCCTGAACCCCTAAACCCTACCTGAGACCCTGAACCCTAAAGGCCCTAGTGTAGGAACCTGCTTAAGAAACCCTGGCCCTATAACCCCCAATATATCAGGATCCATATAAGGAGCCCTAATAAAGACCCAAGGCTTCTTAAGCAGATTCCTACATTATACGCTATCTCCGAGGTTTACGTCATCTTGGCCTGGCTCCGGGACCGATGCGATAGCCGTTCCTTGGTGTTCTTCTGGTTGGCTCTTAGGACTTTAACTTGTTTTGGCAGGATTTTAACTTTTTGGGTTTCTATGTTTCTATGAACCATACGGGGTGGGCTTTAACTTTTTGGGTTTCTATTTCTGTACGAACTATAATAAGCAGGCTGAAAGTTCAGAAGCCAGCCAAGGTTCAGACCTCGAAGCGTCGGCTGCAAGGCTGCTTGGGCTCGGAAGTCGCGAGTTTTCTAAGTTCGTGCCCCCTTCTTAGGTTGCCACACTTGGGTGGTTGTCAAAATTATGGTCCCTTTCTGGGTCCCTATGATAATACGGCACCTACTACTTAGGGTACCCAAAAAGGGACCTTGATTTTGACAACTACTCACTTATAAACACGGGCTTTAGAAGGGACCCTAAGTTAAGATGCTACCCAGCCACGGGTTGAGGGTCTAGGTTTGTTTTGTTTGAGGGGGCCGGGCAGGGGTGGGGAGCGGTTAGAGGCATCGTTGAGGAGTGTTCGCAGGTTTTGTACTGGTTTTGTAAGTTTTTTCAAGGTTAGAAAGGGCGTTTCTCAGGGTGTTTATCGGGGTTCCAGGAAGGACCTGTGGCTCAAGGGGGTTCCCTGGAAGGATTTGCTTTCTTCAGGGCTTCACAAAGGTGTCAAGACGTTCCGTGGCGGTTGAAAGAGGCTTCTGAGGATATGCTGAGGTGCGAGGGTGCCCTATGCTGTTGCTTCGCACCTGTCCCTCTGATCATTATTCGGGCTTCCGGTAGTGTGGTTGATAAAGAAGCTTGCATAATGTTTGTCCATACTATAACATAGGATTGCTTTTCAGAATATACTAGAATATTGCCACAAGCCCGAATCTAATCCTTCACAGCCCCGTAGGTGCCCTCACTTTTTCAATATTGAGACAGTCCCTCAACATTGGGCTTGCTGCAAAGGGTAGTTTCTTGGCCCTGAACCCCAGCATTCCTTCTGTGGGCCAGGTCCAGACCTAATAGAAAATCGGAATTAAGGCATTTCCGGTGTATTTCAGTTTACCCGGTGGGTCCAAACCTCTACAGAATAGTAGGTCATGGCACCATAAATTGTAGGGTAGAGCCCACAGAACAGCAAGAACTTGGGGCAGCTAGGGTGCGGGGCTGAGATCAGATCTCAGAAGCCTCGAGCCAAAAACTTCCAAAGCATAGGCGGCCTCCGCGCCCGGAATCTCAGGCCTAGCCCCTAAGTAAGGGTCCGTGTACTCAATATGGGGATTTCCGAAAATTAGGGGTACCTTATTTGGGTATGTAACCCTAAACCCTAAACCCTAAACCCAACAGGGTACTATATCAGGGTCCCCCCATTTTCGGAAACTCCCATATAGCACACGGCGGAGTTTTAGATGAGGGGAGGGCGGCCAGACCGCCGAGGCCAGGGAGGTAGTATTTTAGGGTTTAGGGTTTAGGGTTTTAGAGTTTAGGGTTTAGGGTTTAGGGTTTAGGGTTTTAGGGTTTATGGTTTAGGGTTTAACTGAACCACAGGCCTAGGATGCCCAGCAGTGCTTTTGTAGTCCTAGGTTCCTGCCCAATACCAAAAAGGGAGCCCTTTTTAGAGGTAGTGTAATAAAACGTCTGTTTAGATGTAAAAACTGCATGCTTAAAAAGTCACTGTGTGCTTTGGCCTTAAAATAATCCCTAGACAGGGACACATGCTGTAATGCCAAAGAAGTATACAGTATATGGCAATATGAGAACATGGACCCTTAGGGTAAAGAGAGGGCTTGGGGCGCTCGCGACGGTTATTTTAGGATTTAGGGGTTTGAGGGCTCAAAGGCTAGGGGTGCCCTAGACCCTAATCCCGACCAATTGCTATTCATTGTAGTACCTTCTGTTGGTGTAACCAGTTTTATACTAAGGATCCTGTAAAGTAACCCCAAACAGGAACCACAATCGAGACTATAGGGGCTTAGGGTTAAGGGATTTAGGGTTTAGGGGTGCCTGTGAGAGAGAGAGAGAGAGAGAGAGAGAGAGAGAGAGAGAGAGAGAGAGAGAGAGAGAGAGAGAGAGCAGAGAGAGAGAGAGAGAGAGGGGTTTAGGGATTTAGGGTTTAGGGTCTATACCTAGACTATAAGCCTAAGCCGCTAAACCCCTAGACCCCTAAACCCCTAAACCCTAAACCCTAAACCTAGGGTTCAGTTCCCCAAAGAGGTTGGAGGAAGCACGTCAGCGCGAGCGGCTCTTGGACCGAACCGGCGAGGAAGACGTGCACCCCGGGCCTTTCTTGATCGACGTTATAAGGCTTTTTGAGCCCTTTTAAGGGTTAAGGGTTGTTTAAGGATTTAAGGGTTTTTGTTAAGGCTTTTAGGGCCTTAAGGCCTTGTTTGAGGATTCTTTTAAAGCTTTAGGGCTCCAAAGGTTTTTTTTGTCAAGCGTCAGTTTCGGGCTTTAGGCCTTTGAAGTTTAGGGGGTTAGGGGTTTAGTGTTTGGACTATGTTGGACTTATGGTTCAGGGTTCGGGGCCCTTCGGTCTAAGATCGGTTGTAGGGCTTAGGCTCCGGGGCATGGATGGGTCCTACGTAGGTCGGTTCTTCCCTGTTAGGGTTTAGGGTGCGTCTGTGTTGTAGGTGCTACTCTCTTGTTTTATACGATCTTCGGTTGTTGAGTGGTTGTTTGTCATGTGCGTCTGGGTTTCGGCTGCTTCGAGAGTTAATTCAAGCTTGTGGAGGGTTTACAAGGTTTTCGGATCTTGAATGGGGCTGTTAATAACAAGGGATCATTACTTTTTGAGTTGGTAGGTGTTTGTTCTTTGGCGAGGTCTTCTCATCCAAGCCCCTTGTCGGTGTACTCTCATCATCAACGCGATACGGGAGTTTCCGAAAATAAGGGACCCTAATACACTACCCTAAATAGTAGCATCCTTATTATAAGGACCCTAAAATGAGGTACCCCTAGTTTTCGGAAACTCCCATACTGGAAACCTAGGCAGTTGAGTGGCCGGAAGCCCTGCGCATGCCTGACCTGCGTCTGAGCAGCGGGCCTCTAGGTTCGGGTTTGGGGTGTGTGGTTTCCGAGAAAATAGGAGTTAGGATTAGGGGGACCCTTGGGGATATAGACCCTCTCAATAAGGCCCCTTTTGAGAGAGCCAGAAGTAGGGTTCAGAAGGGGCAAATTTGGGGTTGTGGGGTTTGGGGTTTGAGGGTTTAAGGCATGAAATGGTTTAGGGTTCGGAGTTCAGGTGTTTATCGCATGCCGAGGTTAGGGTCTAGGTGGATCTTCAGGAATCAGCTACAGTCTGGCTTCAGTGAGTTCAGTGTTCGGGCATGAGACGAAGGCTCCCTGGGATGGAGAGACCTTCGAGCCTGAACGGTAGCGTATTGTCGGGGGTTTGCAGTGCTAGAAAAGATGCCGTTCCTTGAAAACAAGAATGGTGTGTCTTGAGACACGTGCTATAGGGTGCCAATGAAGGACACAGGCAGGTGCGGCCACGGATACTGCACCCTGATGTCACCTAGCCTCCAGCTACAGCACTACAAGCTCTTAACCTGGAAACCATCAGAGCTCCGCTACCTACCTATAGCCGTCCTCCAGATGGATACCAAAGGTGTGTCCATCGACTTGAAGGCAGAAGCCGCTAGAGCGTCGGCCATTGTCATGTTGGCAGGTTTTCGAATCATTTGGCCTTCACGACACCTACATGTACTCAAGGATGTAGGTCGAGGAAGGTGCAGTGATGCCAATAGGTGGAAAGATGCTGGGCTCTGTCATCGACGGCTTACTGCTGGCCAACGTGTGTCACCGGGGTCTGTGAGGTCGTAGTTGTCAGGGAGCACGAACCTTGCGGAAAGCGTTCGGACTGTCGAAATTGTCCTTGCTTGTTGGTGGTTCTTGCCTCTTCGCGGAAGGAGTTTGAGCTCCGACCTGTCATAGTACTGAGCTTGTCAGCTAGCATTGTGGCGTCAGAATTCTAGACCCTGGCTCCTAAGAGCCACTGTAGACAGGAATCGTCACAACGTTCCGGGAGGACTCATTCTCGAAGCCGAAGAGCCGTAGGTAGCCAAACATAGTAGCACTCATATGCCCAACAGGCCCTCAAGCATTGAAGCCCCAATTGAACTCCCAACGCCTGTGGGGTTTGAGGTGTCGGGTACAACCTAATAGCCCTGTCAATACTCTGAACCCCGTCAATCCTGTTTCACACTCTACCTGTGAATCCAAAGCCTACAGAACAGTAGTATTTTAATAAAGTTATAACCCCGCCATTTTCGGGCATAGCTCCAAACACAGCAAGTAATTGGAGCCGCAGGTAAGCCGTAGGGTAACGTGGAAGTCTGAAAAATCAGTAAGTATTCCTTGGAGTTTCCCGGGGACACCTAAATGAGAATGTATCCCAAAGCCCTATTCTAATTATTATATACTAGGACCTAGAGTAGGCCCTTATTCCCTTTTTAAGGTTTCAGGTTCCCTTATAACCCCCTTTAAACCAAAAAGGGCACCCTTTTTCTTCCTAGGTTACTCTTGGGTCTAGATTAAGGCCCCTATAGTCGAACCCTTATGGTAATCCTTATAATATTGGCTTAAGGGGAGCTACAGAAAGTTGGAATATGGATTACTGGTAGAATCCCCTATAATTTACCTTAAAGGGGTTACGAAAATGATATTCCAACTTTCTGGCTTTGACTTTAGAGGAAACCCGAAAAAGGAACCCCATCCTAATTGCTTAAGCCACCTGATTCGAAGCCTTATACTAGCCCTTGTGTTCAAGGAGCCCTTCAAAGGAAGTCTATCGTAATTGTGGTACTTATCCCTTGACGGAACCATTGGGGGATCCTGTTCTGTTTGTCGGGGCCCCAATCATTACTCCAGACCTTATGGAAGGAGCCTTCCGCAGGAGTTCTAGTTTAGTTGGGACAGTGATAATTATCCAGGCCTCCATGTTAGAGCCATGGCAAGAGTAATGTCCTTTAAAGTCTTTGAATAAAAGGCGCCCTTTTCTGGTTGTCAAGGTGCCTATACTAAATCCTTGTAATAACCCTTATAGTAGCCCATATAGACCATACTAAATCTTCACCATGTCCCTTATAATAAACCCCTGTCAAAGGAGCTCTTTTGTATCATGTGGAAGGGACTGGCTGACTCCCTGGCACGGAAAAGCCTCGAAGCCTTGCCAGTCGTGAGCAAAAGAAGGGTAGGGATTTCTCAATTTAGGGAGGGTTTTAGGGTTTAGAGTTTAGGGTTTAGGGTTGGGTTTAGAGTTTAGGATTTCTCAATTTAGGAGGGGTTTTAGGGTTCAGGGCTTAGGGTTTAGAGTTTAGGATTTCTCAATTTAGGGTTTCTGGTTTAGAGTTTAGGGTTTAGGGTTTGGGATCTAAGGACTCATATATGAAGGCTTTTGGGTCCAAAGACCATACTATGTGAGGCTTCTGGGCTATTTTGATCCCTAGGGATAGAAGCCATAAAGTTGGAACATCATTATCCCCATGCCCTTAAGGTAAAGCATAAGGAATCCTAGCACTAATCCTCCCAAAGCCATGTTCCAACTTTCCGGCTTCTACAGGAGGGTTTGAGGGTTCAGGGCTTAGGGTTTAGTGTTTTATGGTTTAGGGTTCAGGGTTTAAGGTTTGGTGGCTTATCAGTTTAGGATTGGTTTTTGGTTCAGGGATGTGTCTTCGTCGTCGCCGTTGTCCTCCGTCTTTCCGTTCTATCATCAGTACCAACACCAGACCGAACGGCAGCATGTTTACTCGCCCTGATTCGCTTACCGGTTCAGACTTCCCTAGACCCGAAACGCACGCAGTCGAGCTAGGGGTAGCTGCGTGTTGCTACAGTCAGAACGTGGTAGACCGGAATGCGTCCTTAAATTCCAAACTTAAACCAACACTTGCGGCCTCCAGAAAGACCAAACATGGGAAACGAAAGGCGCCAGGCTCCTTGTCCCGCAAAGCTCTCACTCGTTAAAAAATAGTGCTGAATAATGCGGCTTCTCGTTATCTATATAGCTATAGTCTTCTTAGAAAGCATACGAATAATGTGGTTTCTCGTTATCTTTATAGTTATAGATTTTGTAGAAAGCATACCCCCAAGCCACCAATCAGCAAGGCCCGTTTATGAAGCCTTCAAGTGGGCCGTAATCTCCAAGCCAACAGCTTCCAACTGAGCTACAGAAGGCCCGAGCAATAAACCCTAAATTCTGGAAACCCAAGCCATGCAGTTACAGAGGACCAGTTAGCAGCCGACTTGGGCAGACGCACAAAGAAGGCCGTCAACCTATTTAAACAAAAGAAACCCAAGCCGAAGCCCCCGAATCCGAGGACTGACCATGGCGGTTACTTCACACCTCACTGTGCTAGCCGCGGTGCACCGCCGACCAGGGAGGAGTGTGAGGAGAGGACAGCATCCCGTCGGAGCTTTCGATTTAGGAGCTGAGGTCCGGGGTTTGGGGATTGAGGGGTTTAGTTTAGGGGTTTAGGCTTGAAAGGCTTAGCCTGTAGCCCTTAAAGCCTAAACCCCTAATTGGGGTTTAGGGTTCAGGGTTTAGGGTTTAGAGTTTACTTTTCCAGAACTCCTTAAGAGTAGTCCCCAGTTCAGGGTTGCGAGCGGGTGAGGAAGAAAGGAGTTGAAAGGAGAGCAGCCGGTTCCGTGAGCCGGGTGGGGACTCACGGATGTAGGAGCGAGTTCCTGGTGTTGAGGGCTGGGCTGGAGGCTCTTCGAAGCTGAGGCTCTTTGGGAAGGACCTTCGAACTTTGGGAACGACCCCGCAGCCATAGATTTATCTCGAAGCTTGTTCAAAGAATTGGACGGCACGCTGCAAGCTTTGGAGCTTGCTTAGTAGGATCGAGTAGACGAATTCTTCTGTCCAAGTTTCTGGACGCTTTGGATGTAGCTTCCTGAGTTTCAGCCATCTGTTAACATATTTAGTCCAGAACACGCAATCTTACCGTTGTGGCGTGAAGCACTGTCATCGTAGTAGAGATGACATGGGAAGTTCAAGTGCAATACCATTGCTTGTATTGCAACAAAAAGTCGTGTATGTTGGACGGCAGCACGTGGAACACTACATGTAGCCGCAACTGCGACTATTGCTTTCTACTCTTCTTGTTATTATTAGCGTTGCCGTTGTACTTCTCCATGTGCTCAGCCCTGCTTTACTTGTTGCAGCATCGTCTTGTAGCTGCTCTACGAAGAGTTGCATAGCCACCATGATACCTCTGACAATATCTCCTGTCGTACCCTAAGCCCCAAACCAAGCTGACTGCCCACAGCTTTACGTTGCCTCGACGAATGACTTAGGTCCCCAATACCTAACCTTTAAACTTGGGTTCTTATAGTTTAGTAGGAATCGGAAAGTGTACCCTTTCATTTCTGCGGCTTAAAGGGAACTCCAGAAAGTTGGAATATGGTTTCAGGGTAGGATACCCTATAATTTACCATAAAGGGTTTAGGATAATCATATTCCAACTTTCTGGCTTTCACTTTATTGGGGTAGTAAGATGAGGGCACTCGAGTTCCCAACCCCGTAGCAAGGCACGGCTCCTGGCTGAATCCCGGCCGAGGCAGGACGCACACGAAACACACACACACACAATATATATATATATATATATATATATATATACATATATCTATATATATATATATAGCGGCCGCTATGATCGGAAGAGGGAATTGGGTTTTGGGGCCCCTTATACTTGTAGTAAGGAGCTCTCTAATTGTATTGGTAACTGTTTAGGCCCCTGTAGCACACGCACATGCAGCTGGTCGGTCAGACCGATGACTCCGACGTTGTGACCCAGTCTTTCGCAACTCTTCGGTTGAATTCTGCATATGAGCATCCGTCAAAACTTCCGTAATCGTAGTTAAGAGTAGGGTGACCGTGGAATGCGGGATTTTGCCAATTTCCATGGAAAGCGATAGGACCCCCCCCCCAAAAAAAAAAAGCGATACGATTAATGAGGATCCGCGGTATTTGTGCCTAGATTTTCCGTGTGATATATGGCTAGGCAATCGATGCCCTAATCGATACCCAACCGA